TGATGGTGATGGAATGGCAGGTAATTGGAGAAGTGTACAATAGCCGTCTCTGAAAATACACACCATTATTACCACAATTGTGAGAATACCCTACGATATCAAATAAGCTACTATGAGGAATTAGATAAAATATTAATCATATTAATCTTTGGTGATACTATCTAAACAATATTCAAAGGGAAGACGAAACAACTTTACACTGCAACAGCAAAATTTATTATAGTGAAGAGATACTGATCTTAAACTAAATAATAATATTCTATAGAAAAGCGTCTTAAAATTAATTGAATATCAATGAAAACTGGACCGTCTTTCTTTTTTGAATGTAAGATTATGGATTTCGATTATCATATCCAAATCTAAACATATTAGCGAAAGGGTTTATTAGAAACTTTCATGTACTTTGAATATTCGTATCCTTTTTTCTGCATTGTCAAATAAGTCAGTCCAATATAACTATTCCCGTACCTTGCATCTGCCATTTTAACTACATTTAGAAATAAAATTTTACAATACCCGAGTAGATATATTGATAGTAGTTTCAGCATGCGCCATCACAACTTAATGTATTGTTTAATAGGTTAGATCCACAAAATGTGCTTTTGTTCATTTCCTGGATGAGTTTATATATAGCAGAATATATATATATATATATATATATAATATATTTACATTTAGTATAATAATATGATGATGCGCTCTGTTGTCTCGCAAATATTGACCTAATTAATATTTCATAATAAAAAGTGGTTTCATAGGAGAATGACCTATCCCATCTAAATATGTATGTTTAAACAATAACAGCTGCATTTTATAGAATAATATAATGACGTTTTTTGCTTTGCTTTACTTTACTAACTCTTCTTCTAAATTCTTGTTTCTTGTATGGAAGAGGAAAATCCCTCCTATACCGTATTCCTATCATGCTTCATTTAACGTTAATGGAATATTATTATCATTATAGTAATGGTAATTAAATAAGGTACAATAGAATAATACATAGTACATATGCTTCATTACATGAGTGTAGCAGAAATTTCCGTTAAATCCCCTTTACAATTGTGACCGAATATTTCATACTAAAAAACTGTTCCCTTAGAGAATGACTTTCCCACCTAAATGTGTAAAGGTCATAACAAATGCATTTTATAGAATAATCGAATGATTTTTTTTTGTTCTTATTCTATTTTGTGTAGGATAATTACTCTTAACTTTTATTAATTTCTTTTATGTTTTTATCCTTTTTCTTTTTTGTGTGTAAGGAAAAGATATTATTCCTTGTCTCTTTCTATACTGCATTGTGAGTACGACTATGCTTCACTAAGAGTTTAAATTATATTATTATTATTATTATGTTGAGCCTTTAGTGCATCTGGACACTTTTACTCTTTGATAGATGGGGGTTCCTGCAGTTTCCTACACATCCCACTGACTCATTTGTGTATTCTCCATAAACTTCGTGATTATTGAATGACTGATCAGAGCACGTTCTGCGTACCGCCCGTGCAGTAAGTATTTACTCTGAGATTAGATAGTGTTAAGTAGTGCAGCCTATCGGTTTTGGCATATAGTGTCAGGACTCTGCCCCTTATATATTGGTATTATTAGTCACAGCATTTAAAATTCGTTATAACATCCTGACTACGACTATGTTTCATTAGAAATATAATTATTATCATTTATAGTAATTAAAAATGTATCCTAATTTTGATTTGAACATTTTAATACGGAATATAATTATTATTATTTATAGTAATTAAAAATGTATCCTAATTTTGATTTAAACATTTTAATACGGAATATAATTATTATCATTTATGGTAATTAAAAAAGAACCCTGAATTTGATTTGAAAATTTTAATAATAACAAAATAATTTCCTATGAAACAGTAATGACCCTGTAATTTGAATCCTTCGCTTTATTCCACAGCATGACACAGTGTTTAATCTTGTTTATTATATCATTTCAATTCCTTTTCTACTTAATTCCTTACGTATTATGTATGCACTATTGTTAGAGCTAAGCTAATTAAATCAAACTTAATGAAGAACGATGACAAAAATTAATGCACCACGTGTCGTATGAGTAACTTTTTTTTGGTTCAGCAAAGAATTCATATCGCTTCAGTAAATAAACTAATTTAATATGTTAATAAAAAAAATAAAAATATATTTATTGCTATTCAAATAAGTAAAATTAATAACAAATAATAAAAATTAAAATAAGTGCTCTTTACTAAACACTGACACACACATGCTTACACTGTGTTTTTGTGTATGTACGCTAAAATATTTCGAATAACTCACTTTTGATTTTTTTTTTATAAACAATTTTAATTCTCGATGGCTTACTTTAATTTCTAGATAGCTCTTTAAACTTTTATACCTCTAAAAAGACACGCACTAAAACTTATATAACACAATGCTTAACACAGACGAAAATAACCGAGCCGTTCGAACGTACATACGTTGGCTTTCATATAAAAGTACGCAAATTTATATATAAACTTTCTTCGCAATTTAGCCACTTTCACTTCTTTCACTACGGAACGGCATATATTTCGTGGGTGTTCTGTGCCGAAGAACTTTGGTATTGGTGGTGTAGGAGACGAGTGTGCAAATGTTAGGTTTGAAAGGATAACAAACACAATGTTTGAGTTTGGAGCGAACAAATGCGAACAAATGCGAACAGCACAAACACATAAATACACCACAAAATGAACAAAAAACTTCACAAAATTGATTTTCAATACATTTTCCACAACAAATAATTTTATTTTTACTTAATTAATTTTAGTGAAAATGTTTGAACTGATATTTTATATATCCAAACATTTCATTTTTAATTAATAATTTAAATGTATTATACAATTAAGTGGGAAAAAAGTTATTTTTCACGAACAGCGCGCTGTCATTGCTCAACTGAAGCGACAAGCGATAGCAACAACGTCTGGAGAAGAACTGTTCGAACCGAAGGATAAAAGTTTACCAGAACATTGTTGTGAGTGCAAAGGAGTACGTAAACATAAGTGGATGTACTAAAATTGTACTAAAACCCAATAAAATAAAACCAAAAATTAGTACGCGAAGGACGTTCGAGTAATATTTTTTCATTAATAATCTTCAGTGGCGGTTCGTTAATATAGAACCGAAAATATAGAATGAATATAACATAGAGGTGGTATAAGAGACGTTCGAGTAACAGTTTTTCATTAATAATCTTCAATGGCGGTTCGTTAATATAGAACCGAAAATATAGAATGAATATAGAGGTGGTGTAAGAGACGTTCGAGTAACATTTTTTCATTATTAATCTTCAGTGGCGGTTCGTAAATATAGAATCGAAAATATAGAATGAAGATAGAGGTGAATATAGTGGTGTAAGAGACGTTCGAGTAATTTTTTTCATTAATAATCTTCAGTGGCGGTTCGTTAATATAGAATCGAAAATATAGAATGAATATGGAGGTGGTGTAGGAGACGTTCAAGTAATATTTTTTCATTAATAATCTTCAGTGGCGGTTCGTTAATATAGAGCCGAAAATATAGAATGAATATAGAGGTGATGTAAGAGACGTTCGAGTAACATTTTTTCATTAATAATCTTCAGTGGCGGTTCGTTAATATAGAACCGAATATAGAATAAATATAGAGGTGGTGTAAGAGACGTTCGAGTAACATTTTCGTGACGCAATGAACCAATAGATCAGAGTAGCTTCACGTCTCCTTTAAAATGTTTAAACGCAGTTACTTTTACCTTTCTCCATTATAGTACAATCTACCTACGTCTTAATTAGTGGCAATAACCCCCGCAGCTTAAGACTGTTTAAGATGCAATCGATAATGAATATAATTCATATCCTAGCTTTATTCAATGAATACTATATCAGATTTTATATTTTAAAATGTGTTGGTAAATATATTAGTCACATACCACATACTGTTTATTTCGTAACAATATAAATCAGTGGAAATTTACTACGAAATAAATCTAATATTTAAACTCATTCAACCACATGTTATATATTTCTATCATTTATTGTCATATATCCGATACCCATTTCTTAGAATACACTTTATTAGTTTTTAGCAATTTATTGGTTTGTTTATTGCATTCTCTGTAAACTATAATATATTCTACAAAACATATTAAGTAATAACACTGCGATAACATCAGTGACGTCGAGTATCAATAAGATCTTTTAGCCCTCCATATCGAAACAATACCATCTTATAAACCAAGGTTGCAACTCAGGAAGTTCTATAACAAACCTCCACTTGACATTTTTAGGGTTTAAAAATTGACTTCCACTTGCACTAAGAACTGTTTCTGCCTAATTAAGGTCGAAATAAGTGCTAAACGAAAAGTAGTTACACATAAACAAGGCAATGTAGGACCTAACAATATTTCTACCCTCATATCATTTATTTGTTCATGCCATGCTCCATCATAGTTGGGAAGACCTTTCGATTGATGGCTCTGCTCCTTTAAAGTGAAAAAAGTTCTCAATCTAAACTCAGGTTATATTTAACTATTCCCAGCCATCGCTTTATTTCTTATCTTTGCTATCTTTGCTATCTTTGCCCTATGCATGACAATCGCCAATGTGTGGTCAACTGCAGTTTGACCATTAATTCATTACTTTTACTTACCATATTTTACACATCAATCGCATCATCAATCGAATTTATGGCTCTGACCCTCTAATGTGACACGGTTTCAAGGTCCATCTGCTCCCACTTTTTATTTAATTATTTCCACCCGTTCGAAATTTTTTTCTTTTCTCTCTGTAAACATCTGTTATCCTTTTGTGTACTTATTGCGAATCTTTCAAATGTCTCACGACACCTCACAAACCACTGAACTGAATCTCACAAGCCTAAACCCACATGTGGCACAATGGACTAATAGACCTAAGTGAATGTTTAGAATCGCAGATATAAGCTAACCTAACCTATGTTTGTGTTATAAATAAATAAAAAGAATTTTCAGTTTTACATATTACATGTATGTTTTTTTAGTTTATTATTTATTACGTGGAATATAAATTTTCATGAATGACTATAATGGAACCTAAAAATGAGATCTTGTAATATGTGTTTGTTTTTGAAACATATTTAAGTTATGTTAGCCTTAAGTTTACAGACTATTTTTATGTATGTAATACAAAATTAAAAACCTAAACTTATGCATCTGTTAACAAAAAATATTAATATAATACTTATGTTATAGAAATTATAGTTAAACTTGGTTACCTTTATAAAAACAACTTATACATATGTATATATTACATTAAGTTTAAATTATGTAAAAAAGTAATATTGTATGATATTTTTCTAAACAATAATTTTAGTTTGCTTGCAGTCTAGCATAGCTTTGTTATAAAATTCCAAACAATCTTCAGACTTTTGTAATAGTGCTTTATAATCATTTGTCAACTCTAAATGACTTTTAAGTTGACTGGATGTGGAGTCCATATGTAAAATTTTGCAGCAAAAAGTTGTGTATATATCAGTAACAACTTCTGTATAGTATTCTAATGGCTTGGTGACATGATATGCTTTTGTGAATGAAAAGTCCACTTCTAAATCTAATTGCTCACAAAAATCTTGAAATTTATCGAACGTTTGTTTAACGTAAATGCAAGAATCCTTGATATATTCACTAAGAAACATACAATACAAAAAATTATTCAATCTATGTACATTTAAATATATAGGAGTATTACTTGGAGGATTTAAATTCCGTAATGGCTATTTGAAACTGTTTTAATACTCTTTCCTCCGTGAGCTTCGGGACACTATTTGATTCTTTTAATGGTTTATCGCTATAGAACAAAATAATTAACTTCACATTTTAACCTATTAATTGTATTACCGTAGGGAGCTGTAATTTTCCATTAAAGTAGTCATGCGATCCATTATTTTATGTTGTGTTTCCATTTCTTGCCGAAGTAGAGCGTAATGGCAAAGAAATTTTGCATTCATTCTAACTAGAGCACTACGAGCGGCTGTGCGTATTTGATTTTCAGTTCTTAAGTGTGTAAAAGTGGGTTTAGCTTCATCGGTAGAAATTCCAGAATCCATTTTATTATTTTTTCACACAGCAGCAATTCGTAGCACTCCTTATGTCCCTAACAATAAACAATTAAAACTGTTTTGAGCAGTTGTCAAAATCATTCTTTATTAACAAGAAGAAAAAGTGCTACCAACTCCACAATATATTGCCAAATACATATTTCGTTGAATGCACCCTTAACACAAGTTGAGTGAGGTGTTATTTGCAACCTGTTAGCATTTTATATACCGCATAACAGACGATGACAAGTACGCATATGCGACCATTTTCAGCACCCTAAACAAATGTGTATAGAAGAATATCGATTGAGCTATATTAATATGAAGAAATAAGTTTTATATACGTGACCCAATAGTTTTATGTATCTGAAATTATATTATTATATTACATGATTTAACCGGACTTTAGGTCGGTTAATTAACACTCAAATTATTAGCATTAAGGTTGCTTATATAATTGAATCTTATGCCCTTTTTGTTTGGTAAATCTGGTGCAGTTTTCATTTTCGATTAGTAAATCTCAAATGTATAATACTTTAGTGTTACACATTTGAGATTAATTTATATCATTCTTTATATATTTTGCCAGAGTAGTGAGATTATCCTGAAATTAACAACTGTTTACTATGACTTGACAAATAATAGGTCCGATCCATCAGCTATTTATAGTAAAACTCTAGTAAAACACAAATAAATTACAAACTGAGAGCGTAACACAAATAAAGTGCCAATCACGCTCTTTATACAGATTTTTATGGAACAGCTTTGTGTAAAATCTGGTGAGAACACAAGTGCCGCGCAAATAAATAACACAAAAATTCAAATTCAACCCAAAACAGCTGATGCACACATCAACACAAATTTTCCTTTAAATAATATGTACGAGTAAAGTCTGTGTAACATATTCAAATTTCGACAGTAATGTTACGCTCTCTTAAATACTCTCATTTACTCGAAAATTTGCTGGTGGAACACACTTGTGTATATACAGTGTTACTACAAGCAGGTCGTGGAACAGACCTATTGTGTCATTTGATTCAATGTATGAAAAATGAAAAAATACTAAACTACTGCAAAAATATTAGATAACTCTAAAAATGTTCGATTCAGCAACAAAATTTGACAGAACGAGAGTAAATCTAAATTAAATCCAGATTTAAGAATCGAAAATGACATTAAATAATATACCTTAGGCCCGGTTAAATTAAATTCAATTAAAGTATAGGTTGAAATGATAATTAATTATTATTACATATTCCTACATAATAAAATAATCTATTACTGCATCCTTTTTTAACGTTTTTTCATGTTAGTCACATGTTACACATGCTTTTATATTGGTGATGCGTGATGCGTTCTAGCAGCTCGAACAGCTTATTTAGTATTCCATGTTTCTTTTGTTTCGTTTAATAAAATTAGCTAAAACCTAGTTTTACAATGTATTTTGTAAATGTAGTATGTAGTGTGTAGTATTGTAAATAAATTTCACAAAACAATTCTAACAGATTGATATAACACAACACAAAATCTGACAATTTGTGTTTTCAGTTAAGTAGTAATTTGAATGATACTTTCGTTTGACAGGTAAGTTAAATTTGGCAGCACTAACAGAGCAGGTGTATTTGAATATTTTTTTTGGTTTTGCAAATAAATGTGATTTTGCGCCAAATTGTTCAAAATTTTCTATCATTATTTGCATATTTAATTAATAACTGAAATAAACGAGAATGTCTTTTAAATGTCAAGAAGATAGTTTTCTCCAACAGGTAACTTTGCAAGGAGTTTTCAATGATAATAAAAACCAATAAAAATAATTTCTAAATACAGTTTGAAACAACGGTACTTTCTTGTGAAAGAGCCACTCTGAATGTATCATTGTCCAATGATGATGATGGAGAAAATGTTGGACGTCTAGAAGGATATAATGTAATCTGTGAAGATACTATTCTTTTTCCGAAAAGCGATGGACTACCATGTGATAAAGGCACAATCAATGGTTTTCCTGTAAGAAATGTTACAAAAACAGAAAATGGTGCTGCAGTACATTTTGTAGAAATGCTAGACCCTTTTGTTGCGAGTATCAAAGTTATACAAACGGTAGATTGGGATCGTCGAATCGATTACATGCAGCAACATTCTGGGCAACATTTAATTACCGCCTTATTTGAAAAAGAGTATCAATTTAATACATTATCCTGGTATTTAGGCAGCGATGCAGCCTATATAGTCTTACCAGGAAATCTAGTAGTAGGTCGGCCACAACTCAACATTATTGAACGTAAGGCCAACGATTTAATATGTGAAGGTAAAAATGTTGATGTTCTATCAGTCGAAGCTAACGAAACTCCAAGTGTAAGTAATAAAGATGATAAAAAGTTTGATACGATTGAACCACCTTTGACTAAAGCTGGTTTAGCACGTACCGTGCGTATTGATGGCATTGGGAATTTTGTGTGTAGAGGAATGCATGTTAGAAATCTCTCACAATTACAATGCATTAAACTACTTTATGTGGAAAAATTTTCAGGAGGATGGCGAGTACATTATGTTGTCGGAGAACGTATTATGCGAAAATTGGGAGATTTTTATAAACGAGAAAAACTATTTAGATTGGCTTTACGGTAAAATTTAAATATTCTTATTTTCACATATATGTATTATTAAGTATTTAATATTTCAGAGGTGCATCACCAACGCAACATGCAAGCTTTGTAGATGATATACAAACAGAATTCGAAAATTCTACGACTGCATTAGACAAAGTCCTTAAAGATTTTACCGATTTCCATATTGAAAAATTACAAACTATGCAGCCACGTCCACAATATTACTGCTTACATCGTACATATGGTATGGAGCCAGATTTTATTAACACTTTTTTGGAAAGAGCACCAGAAGATATTTTTTATTTTCTGACTGTTTCTGAAAATATGCCACGTGGTGGTAAAGGCATTATGGTATTACGAGGTGAACCTGATCTTATACAAAAGTTTGGATTGTTGTTTTCTGATATACTTGATGGAGAAGGAAGTGGAGAAGGTAATCGATTTGAGGGAAATATTATTTATAGTGTTGATAAAGTTCCTGATTGTGAAGCTTTACTGGAGGAGCATTTCGATATGATAGACTAATTGCTAAAGTTTCATAATTTTTGTATTTCACTTTTTAATAATTATGAATTAATTGAATAATAAAATTGCTATATATATTGGCTTACAAAAAAAAGCAATTTTTAATTTTTACATTATTATTGAAAACCTCGTAACCATGAAGAATAAAATTTAATTTATTATAATTTAAAACTAATAATTTGCATGATTTATATGCTAATATTTATAATATTCAATTTATATAGGGGCCTTATATTAGGTCCTATATTTGTGAGGATTCTATACCTAATAAAACATATTTTTTTGAAATCTTCATGTAGTAGAACCAAAGCTTCATATTCATTATAATCTTAAGTCCCAGAGATACATTAATATAATCCACTTATTTAATATCGTTGCCACACATAAAAAGTTTCTGTAAAACTTTTGAAGAATTTCTGCAATGTTAATTAGTGGCTTCTATTCGTGATTACGCACAAAAGCACATTTTCTAAATTTGTTGTTTTGCGCAGATTAAAATCATAAAAACCATAGATTAGTGTGTAAAATGCAACATATCAGAGTTACCACAATTTTTCTAATTTTATCTCACTTTTCTCTGAGATATGAAATGTACATATTATGTGACACGTGTGCGTGAGAGAAATTTATTCAAAAAGTTGAAGTAAACTGCATAATATTGGATTCACACGAAAGTTTTGTTCGTAATTTTAGCTGTCATGATTGTAATTTTAGCAGTCAATTGTTGTTGCTTTCAATGCAAAATAAAAATTTTTGGTGACTAAAATTACAAACAAAACTCTTATGTGAATCTAGTATAACATAGAAGATTTTATTATAAATTATTCGCACATAGTAACTGATTGTGAACTTTACAAAAATAACTTTACTGTGCAAACTATTGAAAATTTTAGTTAACGTTTTATCCAATTTAATGTTGAAGGTAACTCTGCTGATTTTTGGTACTAATTATCCAAAATATTGGAGGTAAGTGAATTATTTTTTTATATTTTAATAATTAAATTTATTTATTGCTTTTACAAACCATTTTTTTTACAATTTCTTTCAATATTGACTTCATTTATATTAAACTGGCAAGCGAATTTACACCAACAGCGAATTTACGCAATCTAAATTTAAGAAAGTTTTAATAAACCTAAAGCTTTATACCTAATCGACATGATATAAAGTTTTAGTAGGTTCCATATTTTATTAACCGGTGCAACTGGCAATTAAATTCTTATTTACTAGTTATGTGAACGAATTTTTTTTTCTATTCGAATAATATATTATTGAGTAAAAGTTTTCAGTTTAAAATCATATTTTGATATAAAAACCTGCGTTGAACCAAATCAGGTTCAAAGCTTATAAAAGCTTTCAATTTATACGTTATATAAATCACAAAAATCTTATAATAAATGAGAAGGTTTGAACAACTGTTTATTACATAGCATAACAAATAAGCTAATATTTTGTAAATAACATTTAAAATATACCTATATATTTATAATGAATATTTGTAAACTTTAACAAGTAAAGTATAAGTCTGGCAGCACTGACAGTGTGTCCGTATTTGAATATTTCTTTTGACTTTGCAAATAAATATAATATTGCGCCAAATTGTTTAAAGAGTTTCAATTAAGATTTGCATAATTAATTAATAACTGATTAACTGAAAATGCCTTTTAGATTTCAAAAAGATATTTTACTCAGAGAGGTAACAAATTAAAATAAATTTTTAAATATTAATTACAAACGGTAAAAATAATTTCGTGATTACAGTTCGAAACAACGGTACTTTCTTGTGAAAAAGCCACAAGGGATTTAACACCATCTGATGATGAATATGATGAAGATGATGATGAAGATGCCGAGATAGTAGATGGTTACGATGTAGTCTGTGAGGATACTATACTCTATCCTGCAGCCAGTGGACAACCATGTGATTTGGGCACAATGAATGGCGAACCTGTTAGATATGTTACAAGGACAGAAGACGGCTTGCTGCCACTACATTTTGTTGAAACGTCGCAACCCTTTGAAGAAGGATCCAGAGTAAAACTCGTTTTAGATTGGGATCGTCGATTTGATAGTATGCAGCAACATACTGGGCAACACTTTCTCACTGCCTTATTTGAAATAGATTTTCATTATGTAACTAAGGCTTGGTTGATGACCAGTGAAACATCGTATATAGTGATGCCAGGGGCGCAGTTAATAAATCGAGCAAAATTGGATATTATTGAGCGCATGGCAAATCAAATAATACGTGAAGGCCGAAAAGTGAGTGTCGAGACAATAAATGCTACGGAACTTCACAATGTAAGTAGTAAAAATGATAAGAAATTTGATATGATAAAGATCAAACTATAAAATTAGTTTCAAGAAAATATTGCTCCAAGTGGACAAACCATAGATGAAAATGCTTTAACACGTTTAGTGCGTATTGAAGGCATTCCATCCGTTGTTTGTTGTGGAACGCATGTTACTAATCTCTCACAATTGCAATGCGTTAAACTACTTTCTGTGGAAGGATTTAGGGGGTCTTGGGTCATAAACTATGTAATAGGAAGGCGTGTTGTACGTAAATTGGCAGAAAGTGTTGAACGAGAACGATTACTGAAGTTGTCACTTGGGTAGAGAAACCTTAGTTTATTTATTTTCTCTTTATTTGTTTTTCTAATTTTTCAGAGGTGAACCGGAACAACATTTAAAGTTACTTGAGCAACTACAACGAAAGTTTAAAATTGCTAGAAAGGCTTTAGAAAAAGCTCTACGAGATTTCGCCTTAGTAGAAGCTAAAAAAGTAGAAAATCTACAGCCACGTCCACAATTTTATTGCTTACATCGTTCATATGGTATTGAGCCAGTTTTTATTAATGAATTTTTGGACGAAGCACCTGAAGATATATTATATTTTGTTACTGTTTCTCAAAACGTGGAAAGTGGTGGTAAAGGTTTCATGGTTCTACGGGGTGAAACTGAACTAATGGAAAGATTTGGAACTACGTTTTTTGATATACTGACTGGAGAAGGAAAGGTAGAAGGTAATTCTTTTCAGGGACTTTTTTATAATATTGATAGAATTCCTGAATGTGATGCTTTACTAGAGCAGCATTTTAATATGACAGAATAGTTACATAGTTACTGAAGAATTCTAATTTTCTAAATTAATATTTTTATTACATCTGCTGAATTTATATAATTAAACGATAATCAATTTATAGTATTTTGTAATGTGAATTTGAAAATAAATATTGAAATTATTGAAATTATTGAAATTATTGAAAATACGATTTGATTTATTTTCTGTTAACTAATAATTTACAAGTTTCATTTGGTCCAAACTTAAGACCTCTTTCAATTCTAAAGCATTTACAATGTTCCATACCCATTAACGTGTATTTTTTGAAATCTTCACGTGCTTCAACTAGAGCTTTATAGTCATCAATTGATCTTGAATCCCCTGGATCCATTAATAACATCCAATTATTTAACTTCGTTGCCACACAGTAGAAATAATTATATAACTCCTCCAGCATATCTACAATATCAACTAATGGTCTCTGTCTGTGATTGCCCTTAAGAAACACACTGTCCACGGTCTTATCCAGCTTAGTTATACGCAGGTATAATTCCTTCATGCATTTTTTAATATAACCAAGTGATTTTGTCATACGAGCACTGCAAAAGGATTTTATTTTAATTTGTAAATTAAAATGTTAAAACTGTTACTTAGATTTTTTGATTCTTTTTAAATTAAAGTGAAAATCATGTAATGCTTTTCGCTCCAATTGCTTAGAAATCCATTCTGGATATAGCTTGAAACACACACCACCACTTGGAAAATAATTCAATAAAATTGGTAAATAAATTAATTGAAAAATTAAATGTTAAAGAAACTTGCAATATATTATTATGTTTATATATAATTCATCTATCAAATCGCGAGTTAAACTGCGTACCAAGTCAATATAAGATAACGTTGCGAAAAGTCCCACATTTTCTCAACCAGTTCCAACTGATATTTAAGTTCTCTGTTTACTAGTGCATCATGTCTACGAAATTCCTTTTCCAATCTAAGAATTTGTTGTTGGGTACAAGTTTCCAATTTAAAATCGCATTTTGTGTATAAAGTCTCGCAGTGATCAAAATTTGGTTCCAAATCCTTTAAAAGCTTTACCTCTGTACGTCTGGGATAAAGCAGACAAAATTTTTTATTGTCTAGTTTGACATTTTTGTAAAACTCGTAATCGTCGGGAAGTTTCCAACAACCACAAGTCATTTTTGCAAAATGCCCAAAACTTATTGAGAGATAAACCAAAAATATATATAATTTTAAAAATAATTTTATTTCATATGAATAAGATTTCATATATATTGGTATTATTTTAAAAGTTTGACAGTTGAAGTAAAAAGCTTGGCAGCACTGGCAGCACAGATGTATTTGAATATTTTTATTTTGTTTTTAAAATAAATAAAGTTTTGCGTCAAATTCTTTACAAATTGTTTGCCAAGATTTGCATAATTAACCAATAATTAAAATAAACGAAAATGGTTTTTAAATGCCAAGAAGATAGCTTTCTCAAAGAGGTAACTAACAAAAACGATCAATTATGATAATAATGATAAAGAATAGTTTCTTAATACAGTTCGACACAACGGTACTTTCTTGTGAAAAAGCTACTTTGGATTTGCCATTGAGTAATGATGCAAATGTCAAGCGTCTAGAAGGTTACAATGTAGTCTGTGAAGACACTATACTTTTCCCCGAAGGCGGTGGACAACCATGTGATTACGGCACAATCAATGGTCAACCTGTTCGAAATGTTGTGCGCAAAGGTAGCGAGGCTATACATTTTGTTGAAATGAAAAATCCATTTGAGGAGGGCACTGCAGTAACACAAATCGTAGATTGGAATCGTCGTTTAGATCATATGCAGCAGCATTCTGGACAACACTTAATCACCGCCTTATTTGAAAGTGAATTTAAATATGACACAACATCTTGGTGGCTGGGCAGCGATACATCATATATAGAATTATCAACCAGACATTTAGTAAGTCAAGAATCATTGGATATAATTGAACGCAAAGCAAATGAATTAATACGTGAAGGTCGAAATGTAACTGTCTTATTAGTTGATCCTGACGATCCTGTCAAAGTAAGTCATAAAATTAATTAAATATTTGACACAATCAAACCATTATATTAGTTTACAGATACTCGTGCACCACGTGGTTTACCCAGGAACCATGTTGGACTAGCACGTTTAGTGCGTATTGAAGGTGTCGAGAGTAATATGTGTTGTGGAACGCATGTAACAAATCTTTCACAATTGCAAGGTGTTAAATTACTTTATGCGGAAACAGTTAAAGGATTGGTCTATGTACATTTTGCAGTTGGAGAGCGTGTAATGCGTAAATTGGGAGAATGTGTACGACGTGAGCGACAAATGAATTTAGCACTAAAGTAAAGAGACTTTTTTTTTATTTCAACATTTTAATCAATATTTTTTAATTTTTTTTAGAGGTGGACCAGCTCAACATTTAGATTTGGTAGAGAAACTGCAAAAAAACATTCAATCTACAACAAAATCTTTACAAAAAATACTTAAAGATTTAGCTATATCAGAAGCTGAAAAACTGGAAACATTAAAGCCGCGTCCACAATTTTACTGTTTACATCGTAGAGATGGTATTGAACCAGATTTTATTAATACATTTTTAAACAACGCACCCAAAGATATTTTCTATTTTCTTATTGTATCTGAAAATGTGCCATGTGGCGGTAAAGGTCATATGGTATTACGAGGTGATCCTGCTGTTATACAAAAGTTTGGCGCAATGTTTTTAAGTATACTTGAAGGAAAAGGATATGGCAAACATAATCATTTTCAGGGAAAAGTAAATGTTAGTAAAGTTCCTGAATGTGTAGCTTTACTGGAGGAACACTTCAATTCTATAAAATCTATTGCTGAAGCTTCATAATATTTTTAAATTACATTTATTAAACAATAAAATGTTTATAATAAATTGTTATAACGACAAATATTCAATACGTTTTTTTTATTTTATTACTGGGTTTAGGTCGTTAATTTAACACAAAAATTAAAAATCATTTTTTTTAAATATAAAATCACACTTGTGAATTTGTGTTAACTATTTAATTGTATTTTAATTTTTATAAAAAATTTATAAGTGTAATTTTTTATTTAAAAAAACATTTTTAATTTTATGTTTTATGTATAAAATGTTTTGTGTTGAAATATTTATGACGGATTAAGTCATTCATTGCTAACATTGCGACAAGATACTGACAACGAAACTTATAATATACAAAAATAAATAAATTGCTAGTTTTTAGTTTACTTAAAGCATAAGTTTGTGCTATTCATATTAAGAAAACATTTGTTTTAAGTTAATTTTTAATTATATTTGGTTTTATATAATTTAATACAACTATAAATAATTTATATCAAAATTACGCATTTTCCAATCTAAACGCCAATAACGATTCCAAAAGCCTATATCAATAATATATTGATAAAATTTCAGGTAATCGACTCCAGTGTATTCACAAATTGCTTTGTAAGTGCAATCATCTTTAGAGTACAAGTCCACCCATAGCAAGGTACAGAATCCCAAAGACAATGTGCGCAATGTATTTCGATTGAGGACCAATTCTAAGTCACGTACATATTCTTTTGCTATCACATTCTGTTCTGTAGGCGAGACTAAAATAAGTTTATTGTTCCACTGACGTAACAGTTGCAGAAATACTTCCTCATCCGGATTACGTTTAACACAAGCATATAATCCAAGCGAAGCACCGGTAATCACTAATGCTTTACGTGGTTTATTATAACCAAATTTTACCACATCAACGCCTACATCTTTATAATCACGTACTAAACCTGTCCAATATTTTGCCCATTTTTCAACGACAGTTCCTTTGAAACGTTCCGGCAGTGTAAATGTATTACTTATACGCGCACGCAAGGCATTTGCACGATTTGTTAGGAAAAGTAAACGCATCGCTTAATTTATTTCTTTCTTTCTTGTTTATTGTCTTCTTGTTAATATATTTATTCAAAACACATTTTAATTTATTTTTACAATTTTGTGTTGTGAACAGCTGACCACATACAGTTGATAGTTGACAGCTGTAGTGCTGCCAACTTGAAATAAATTTTGAAACGTCAAATGCGCTAGGTTTGAAATCGTAGCATGCATTTGGTGGGAAACATGTGCGTGAATTACGATTGTAAACAAACAAATATAAACAATTGTAAATATTTGTAAATAATAAAAGTGCGCCATGGCACCACGTTCTGTTAAGGCGGTCAATAAAAACAAGAAAGATTTTATTGAAAATAAAATCACAGAGGAATTTATGGATATTGATGCTAATGACAGTGAGGTGAAACTAGCTATCATATTCAGTGAACAATGAATTGAATATATAAATATTTTTATTGCTTTGCAGATAAAAAATGACAAGGAAACATCAAACAAAATACCTAAAGTAACATACGAGGATGAAGTACAAAAGTATTTAGAATGCACAACTGCAAAAGTAAGTATATGGCACTTAGTGATGGCTTTGTGAACTCAATGAGCCAACATTTTTGATTTGTAGATCAAAATTGTATTCAAATGAAAGATTGTTTGTTTGGCTTTGTAACAAATAACGTTTTGTAAATGCTCAAATATACTTCTGTATCGAAAATTCATACTTATATGCTAACTTATTGCGAAAGCCAATCAAGCAAAGCTATTTCAAACAAAGCTATTAATAAATATTTTATGCAACTAAATCTACCTCAATACATATATGGTATGTAAGATGAAATTGCATATTAATATGAAACAATTACAAAGTGAATATTTTTAAAATTATGTCTTACATCGTTTGTAAATATTAACATATTTTATTTTCCATTATTTAGATCACAACACGTTTGCGGCATAATTTGTTACCAGCTTTAAGTTCTTCAAAAACGCCATTAAGTGACTACAATGAATTAAATAATTATCCTATTTGTTCCATATCTATACCGTGCCCAATCTATATAACACCTAAACATTGTGAACGTATTGATATATGTTTTTTACGTACATTAACCCGCAGACAATATATAAAAAAGGTGCTAATGACACGCACCCGATATCAAACTGCATGCAGAAGTAAGTATCTATAGTATTCTATGAGAAAGATTTACAATAGCTATATTCATTAGAGCATCCTGTAATGAAGAGTTTGGAAAAAGATGATATACATCACGCAACTGTTTTCGATTTGGCAGAGTATATAGAACGGCATCCAGATCCATATTTTCATGGAAGTTATGACTTTTACTATTCCGGTGGCAATCTAACTGCAATGCATGAAAGCGAAAATATTATACACGTAGAAGGCAAAGACTTAAGGAATTTGAGTAAGAAGCAATATATATTATTATGTTGAGGCAGTGCACTACTGACTTATTGACTTAATCAGACTAAGCAATAACTAACCTCAGATCTGCATACCTTCACTAATTATTTCAATTAATTTTTTATAGATATATCGAAATTTAATAATAGTGATGGGACTTCAGTTGCACCCGTAAAAATGGTTGCATCGCATTTGTTTGATCCTGAAAGTGAAATATTTGAGGTGCAGCCAATGCTGAATTTTAATAATGATCGTCCTAATTGCTTTGCTGTACGACAACGTACGACAATAACATTACGTAGATTAAAATCTGAATCTAAAATAAAAGCGATCACACAATTTAAAAGCGGTAGAACTCCATTTATAAGTTTAGCACAAGATACCACTGACACAAATAAACTACTAGTTACTAATATGAAGCAACAAATAAGATTGTATGAATTAAGCAAATCGACACCAATCCAACAACAGTTAATTCAATTTCCTGGTTTGGAGTATATAAACTGGAATACAATTAAATCCTTTCGAGAACATACATTTTTATATGCAAATCAAAGGCATCTCATTACGTTGGACATACGCATTCCTTCTAGAGATTGGAGAAAATATTCCTGCACTATGTCAACTCCTGGTTACGACTGTGATCTAATATCTTCAATAGCAAAAAGTGATTTTAAAAATTTTATATATGTGGGTACAGCACATAAATTGCATTGTTTGGATGCGCGTTTCATTAAACATGAGTTCGATAAACAAACCATTTCTACTTGGACTCATCAAATGGAATATGCACCACTGCTTATAGACACATTACGTTGGGCTAACAGTGAATTAATTGCACTTTCAAGTGCATTACCCAATGACTTACGCATTTGTGAATTAACACGTAAACGTAATTTATCTGATACCTCCTTAAGAAAAGCTTCTAAAAGTATTTATAGAACGCATTGTTTACCTTATCTGCCGCCAACACTACAAGAAGCATATGAGCATGCACGTCTAGCGGGAAAATGTTTACAACCGGATGCTGATCTTAAAAACCGAAATAATTGTTGCACAACGGGTCTTAAATTCTATGAACCGCAACAATTAGATGCAACGATTCCTTTGGATGTTTTTCTGTTGACTTCAAATTCCAATGGAGATGTATTTGCTCACAAAATCACAGAAAGAGAATCTCAAGATTTTGAGCCACGTTGTAGTGCGTACACAGACAAAATAATGTGTAAATATGAGAAAGAAATCTGTAAATTAACTCAACCACCACTACAATTTACCGAAGTGGTTAATATGCAAGGTATGAAGCATAATACTCTTTAACTCATGAATAAATAATGTAATTAAAATTAAATTTTTTTATAATTTTAACAGCTATGAGTAAAGTATTTCGTTGCGAGACTTTAACTACTCTTCCAACCGATCCGAATGATGATATCAACGTTGTAAGTAAAAAACGATATGCGAAGGGACGTTGGCAGAAGCCTGTGTCAACACTTCATACATTTAAGGATGCTTTAGTTAAGGATTTACTTTCCATTTGGGATATCAAATATGAAGAAGAACATAAATTTGCATTGGATAAGTCGCTATTTCCGAAAGACCCCAGTAAAACAATTGTTAGCAATTGGCTTGAAACTCAAGATCAACCGCCGGTTGTAACAACTATACCAATTGATAATATATCCACACTGATAGAACCCAAGGAGGAATTTATAAGCTTAAGCGATAGTTTTGAACCTTCATTTGCATTGAATCAAGAATTTGCACAATCCACACAAGTTGTTAATGAAAAAGATGTGTCAGATATGCAAAATGATTCTACGTTCTTGCTGCAGGACACGTCGTTTAATGTGTCAGATAAACCAAAATTAAAATCTTCGAAAAAGAAGCGAAAATACGTTAAAGGATTCTAGTTCATTTGTGTCGTCATATAAATACGTATCTTTAATTTTATTTGTACTTTTAGCATAAATACCATAAGAGTTATTAAATTTATTTTGTTGGACTTGATATTTGTATATCTATAATAAAGCAATATATTATTATTACTTAAGTATTGGTTTTATATAATTTAAAACGATTTCAACAAAACATAATAACAGTAGTATAAGTTTTTATATATTTTTATATATATTTTAATATATTTTTCTATATAAAAAACAATCTGTAAACTTTTAAAAGAGAGAACCATTTAAGTTTAATGTATGTATGTATGTATAATAGATAATGAAATCACTGATAACCTGATGACAAAAGCTGTAAATATGCCCTTAATGGCTCGAGCCTTTGTATAATCTGATAAAAAGCCTCTCGAATGATATCACCAGCAAATCATCAACATCATCAGCGTTAGACGTCGGGTAAGCTTTAGCTACAAAAACCAGCTTTCTGCATTCTGCTTTGCATGTTGTTTTACACCTCCAATTTTGGATACTCATTATTCTGATGTCGTCGATCACGTTGCCTATCCCTCGTACGGTCATAATAAGGCGTGTGCAAATATTAATCGAATTTATATCCCAGCGATATATTCAGTGTAGACATTAGTACACTATACAGACACATAACAGGACACTGGTAACTAACGTACGATAATGTATGATTCTTTGAAGTTGATGTCTGTTATTTCTGTAAAATTGACATAAAAAGCACAGAGCGCACTCTTTGTAAATGTCCAGCTACTGGCAGAGAAAGCTTTCACCACTTAAATATTATTGTTATGCCTACATATAATTATGGAATAGCAATGCCGAAACTTCAAAAAAGCCTAGTTATATACGGTTAATGGTCCATTCAAGTTGCATCGTGTTTTGAGGTCTTATAATAATAGTAATCTATGTTATTTCATATTGTGCTTGTCTTAAACTTTTATTGACATGGCTTTGGTCTTAAAAACACTGATCAGAATCGATCTCTAAAGCTATACAAAACATTTTATAATCTATAGATTCGAGTAGTTTAAGATATGAATCCAATACAAATTTTAACATCTACAAATTTATAAAAATTAGCACATTTAACTTATTAATGTAATAAATTTTTCAGTTTATGTCCTGAATGACCAATGGAACCGGAACGTAAACCTAGTCGCTCTCGGAACCATACATAGTAGTAAACACATATGGATAAATATTTCTTAACATTCTCAATGCAAAACTTATACTGTACTAAGTAAACCCCTATACGAAGTGGTATAACTAATTGTTCAAAGAGATTCGTGTACAAAACTATACGATCTCCGTAGACATTTATTGTTGTTAAGTCCTACAACCACATCTCTTCTTTGTCTTGGAACTGAAGTCAAATTAACACTGAAATATTGCCAAGTATGGTTCCTTCATGTCATTTGCACGTTATTTGCTGATATACATTATATACACAAACGTAAATATTTACATTAGCGGTCATACAATATCTTTTACGATTCCGCCTGTCTCTTTGTTGTAAGAAAAATAAAAATCACGTATTATTTCACATTTTAATAGGCTTTTTATTTAAATTTTAATTCTCATCTTAAACATTATTTGCAAATTTAAATTTTGCAAAGTTTTGTATTTTAACGTTGAATTTATTTGTTGTAACTGTAATTAAAAAGAAAAACCTTTTTAAGTAGCGTAACAAAATCTATTATTTAAATAAAGTTTACCTGTCGATTATTAAATAAAAAATCTATTAAAACGACACCGTACATCTACATTAGCGAAGTCTTCTTGCTTCACGTTCTGATTCAAGCAGGGTTAGAATATCACCTTCACGAACTGGTCCCTTGACGTTGCGGATGATTTGACGATTTTGCTCACCAAGGAATTCAACTTTCACTTGTGTAGCTTGACCCTGGGAACCGGTACGGCCCAAAACTTTAATAACACGTGCCCAAACGACTGGTTTATCCATATTTTCTTAATAAATTTGTGATTTTTTCGGAAAAAATTCACGTGCGACAAACACTCAAAGTGACAGTCGGAAGTAGAAAGAACGCGAAAAACTTTTGTTTCGTTAAATTTAATTTTGATTGTCAAAAAATTTAACGAAACCTCAACGCAAAGTTAGTTGCGGTTGTAAATTAAGTATATGTGGATTCTATGTTCCATAATAAATGATTAACAGAATAAATTATTGTTTGAAGTATATTTTAACATTTATGATACATATTGTTAATATTTATAAAATAAAATCTTCGTTTATATGACACAATACAAATATTGTATATTATTAAATATTTATAAATATAAAAATTCGTTTTCATATATATTTCATTATAGAGTAAAAGTGCGTATAGCACTAACTCAAGAAGAAGAAGAATCGATAATCATATATTTATTGTTAAAAATGTACAATTGATTCATAATTTATTTTGTCAACCAAACTCAACTCATAGATTGATGTTAAAGCATTTATTAAATACAAATGGGGGTATTCAGTAGCTTAATATTAGTTAATTTATTATTGTAAAATAGAATTATTATTAACCGAAACAACTAGTATGAAAATATTTTTCTTTATTAAGTAAAACAAGAATCTAAGCTTTTGTAAATTAAGTATTCTAAGTAATTATATAAATATTTTACAGCTAATCAAATTCAAATCATTATTATATAACAATGATCTAAACATACAAATTCAAGTTTGTGAATACGTTATACTAAGGAGAGGGTGAGAATTGATTCATACCATTTTCGTCTACAAAACACATCTTCCCATGTAACAAATAAACACTTTCAAATGACTCATCCAAAATGAGCCATTTTCGGCCAATGTAAACGCCGTATAAGCTCTAAGTAATTATATAAATATTTTCAGCTAATCAATTAATTTAAATCATGTCAAACATACAAATTCAATTTGTAATACGTTATACTAAGGAGAGGGTGATCTAATTTGTCTACAAAACACATCTTCTCATGTAACAAATACACAAATAAAATACGAAATATCTAAGCAAAATGATATAGACTTAAATGAAATGATTAGCATTTTTAACACTTTTTGACCATTATCTTCCCACTGCAGCTAAATCAATTAATGTCAATTATATTGAGACTTATATTATGTCTATATTGTGAGAAAAAGTTAATCTACATTTTAAATCTCCACCGCTTACATTATACATTGGAGATTAATTTTCACGTTTCTTTTGTTGTGTTTTGTTTCGTGGTTTGGTGAATTTCTGTAAATAAAGCATTCAATTACAATTTTGTACAAAAAAGTTGTAATATAAATTTAATAAATAGTTTTATAACAATAATTTTCCAAATGTTAGTAATAATTATTTACAAAACTCTTGTATAATTTACTTACTTCGGCATTTTCAATCTTTGTTTTGAATAGATTTTGACATTTCTTTTTCAATTCTTCTTTCTAAGATCGTAAAAAAAACTACGATATTTAGCCATTTGCAGAGTTGCACAGAGAAATAATCACCATTTCGAAAGAGATTTAAAATTAATCTCGACTAAAAGGAAAAAATCTGATATTAAACAGCAAAGTTAGTACTTTAATCTCGATTTTTGCTTTAATCTACTTTTAATCACACAATGTAAACGCCGTAGTAATCGTTATCGTTGGCTTTTATGTGTCAGAAAGTTTTATAAAAGTTTTAGGAAATTTATATTACAGTTGTTAGCAGATTATATTTGGTTTTGTATTGTGAGCAGAAAATAATTAGTTTATCATGAAAAACGAATAAAATGCAAAAAATTTGTTAAACAAATTTCATTAGCGACTTAAATCAATTAACTTGTTTAAATGTTCATATATTCAATTATTATTATAATTATTTCATTAAAAAAATAAAAAAAGTAGCGTTTTATGTACATTATTACATTTTCGTGATACAGATAAGCAGTTAATAATAGGTTTAAAATATTTTTATATTATATATTATTAATTTATATAATTAATGCATTAATGAGAGAATACAAAATTGTGGACCAAATTTCTTACATACCATTCCGAACACATTGAAAGTGAGTTGTCAAAATTACTATTACACGAACGCATCGCAAATGTCAAAACAAGCGGAGACTTTCGTTCAAACGCGCTCCACGTAATAAGTTTCTGTAGACATTGTTCGTGACTGCTGTTCATTCGGCAGTCTGTCTTATAACATTTTAATAGAGTTGGTATTGCATTGTGAAGGTTCGACTGGCGGTCTGGTTTATAGTTTAAAGTTTTTCTTTAGTTTACTGAAATACACAATTAAAATGAGGAACTATATGCTATTATTATTGTTAGTACTTCCTGCTATTATAACTGTATTTAATACATGTAAGTTTAATTCAAGAAATGAATGAAATTTTAAATTATAATTTGGAGACAAAGTGAAATAAATGAAAGTAACATTGAAGTTGTGGAGGAATAAGCCGCGACGTGGCAGCGGTGCAGTGTTTATGACTTCAAAAGAGAAAGTTTATAAATAATTAAAATGTTTTCAAAAATTCAAAAAAAAAATCTTTAATAATTCTATGCGAAAGTCAATTTAAAATAATATTTTTTTTAATTTGCAGCAAACAAATTTTCTGCATTTGCTGTCGAGGATGATTTGATTGATGTTGAAAATGAAGGTGAAGTTGAAGATGGTGCAGTTACCGGAGATGAAGTTGAAGAAGATGTAGAAGCCTCGTCTGCTTCCACGTCACCATATGCTGACACGTTCTTGCTGTTTACGAAACCCTTATATGTCGCTGGACAGCAATTGGATTTGCCAGGTGGTAAACCAGTTGAATTTCTGATTGGCTTCACTAACAAAGGACCAAATGATTTCATTATCGAAACTGTCGAAGCATCTTTCCGTTATCCAATGGACTTCAATTATCATATACAAAATTTCTCAGCAGTAACGTACAATCGCGAAGTGCCACCTGGTTCGGAGGCAACAGTTTCATACTCGTTCCTACCCTCAGACAACTTTGCTAGTCGACCATTTGGCTTAAACATTGCCTTGAATTATCGCGATGCTGATGGTGTGCAATTCAGTGAAGCTGTCTTCAATGAAACCGTTTTGATTTCGGAAGTAGATGAAGGTTTAGATGGTGAAACCTTCTTCCTGTACGTTTTACTAGCTGGTATTGTTGTCCTACTATTGGTTATTGGTCAACAATATTTGGTGGGATCTTCCGGCAAGAGAAAGCGCAGCTCTGCTGTCAAGAAAACCATTGAGACTGGTACTGCCAACGATAGTACCATCGACTACGATTGGTTACCACAAGAAACTCTACGTGCTTTGCGTAAGTTTGACTTATTATCTTACATTGTAAAATATATTAATTTAATTAATTTCTTTTTGTTTTTTGCAACAGAAAAATCACCGCCAAAATCACCGAAATCGAAATCAGTGAAAACATCACCAAAACCAATCAAACAGCAGAGCAGTCCAAAGCAAACACAAAGTCCTAAGCAAAGGAAAGTGAAACGTTCTGCGGGCGACGATTAAATTAAGACTGCAAACATTCACTAGAATTCCTAAATCATTTTTGATTTTCACCTCAACGCGATTTTTTTTTAATTTTATTTTGTGTTAGTAATTCTGAGATTTTTTGAGACCGCTGCTACAATTTGTAAATTTAAGTTCGTTACTTTTCGTTTCCGTTATATACACAAACTACTTCATCAGCTCCAATGTGTGTGCCTATGATGCTGCAATATACTCAAGTGCAGTGGAGGAGCATGGCTATGGAAGTAGGCTGACATCACGCTGCAATGCTTTGTATTGTTTTCGTTTGTAGAAAACGCCTTTGTGTGCTTAGGCATCGTGAATATTGTTCGCCGACTTCTTTGTGCTCTTCCACAATTCTAATTCAAATTCAAATTTGAATTTAAATTTACAAAAACTTTGTTGCCTCTATAAAATCCACAAAATATTTAAAGCTTAGCTTAAAATAAGATTCAGACAAACGCTAAGAAAAGGTTTCTGTACGGTCGTTTTGTGAATGAATTTCTTTTTTTTTTATTTTTGTGTGTAGATTTTAAGTAAGTCTTTTTTGTAATTAAAAACGTAAGAAATATGAACAACAGAACGAAAATAATTTATAAATAATAAATTTGTAAAATGAAACCATTTAAATTATTGTTTAAATTATAAATATTTATAATGTCAATAGAATGGCTACAATTAAGTAGTGTAAATATTTAAAATTATTTTTATATGAAAGAAACAGTAATAAATAAGCACTCTCTCCCACGGAGAGTGGGATTTTACAGAGGAAGTTTAATGTATAGAATATTTTGTAAAAAGAAAACCACTTGATTTGTGGCTGGACGCTTTGTGAAAAATAGCGATTGAGTCACAATCAAAAATAGACGTTTAAGGACAAGTCCAAGAAAGAAGAGTAGCTGCTTGTCAAGTTTCTTAAAGATTTTAATAGTACTTTTGCAGATTCCAGAAGTATGTGCTTCTAGGGAGTTTCTGTCTTAAAAAGAATAAATTCGGGAAATTATTGAGTAATTTGTGCTGGTGTTTTTGTCTTTAATAGAATAAATTCAGGAAATTATTATGCAGGTTGTGCTTCTTCTGAAGGTGCACCTAACTTGCATGGCATAAACGTGGAAGGTAATTGTGAGGCTTGTGATTTTCAAGTGTTTCCCATTTAAATGGCATAAATGTGGAAGATTATTCCTTGGGTCGAGAAATGAATAATATCATCTGCAAAAGAAAGTGGTCCATTGTCAGTATTAATGCTAAATAGGATGTTAAAGAAGGTATATCCGAAAAAAACTTGATATCGTTATAACACAATGTTTCTCCAAAATTAATTATCTTATCAACGTTATTCTTATATCTATTTATAGCTTATTAAATAAGTGTCAACCCATTCTGTTTGGGTTTGAAAAAATTAATAAATTTCAAATTAAGTTTTCTCCAAATTTATCAATCATTTTTGGGCACGAACTTATTTTTTCCAATATTTTCTTTTTTTTGTTAATTGTTTTTATATTAATATCTTATAGTCTTGAGAACATTTCTTTTTAAGGAATTTTACATCTATCATGTGCCCTTTTCCCTTAATTGATTTTCTAAAGTAAACTTCCCTTTTTATCAAATAAGAAACATGCAAATCCAATTAGAGTAAAATTTTCCCTTCACATTACACCAGATATAATGGATTTTTTCAAATGTTTTGAAATTTGACTATGACTTTGAATAAATTTTCAAAAATCCCTATAAATAAATATCTGTTTTTGGCAAGTGTAGCAAATCGGTCATGTTATGTTATGTTGTTGTGCTAACCTATGGGGATCTATACGATAGTTTAAAATAAAAGAAATCACAAATACATAAATATGGGTTAGTGTGCGGATAGTTAAAGGAAATGTGAAATGATAGGAGATTCGTGCCAGAAGCGCCCGGTTCTATGTCCCATAACCACGCGACAAGTTTCGACGTTAAAGTGCCGTTCACTATTTCCAAAGGGAACTATAATAATGATATATGATAAAAAAATTTAATAATAACAGTAACAATAATAATAATATAAACAGTAATAATAATTATATAAACTATATATTAAAGTTTCGAATTGATTAATGTCTTATTTTCTTTTTGTACTTAGAATCTTTTACAGACACAATCAAAAGCAAACACCTTTAATTTTATACTATTTTTCCAATTAGATATATGGCAACTCTGGTTTATTTTCAAAACAACATTTTTGTTGAAAGTAAATAAATTTCATCGGCGGTTTTATAAAATAAAGTCGTTGGATGTTAATCTAATAAAAATTTTAAAGAATGAATGCTCAAGTTATAGATGAGTTAAAAAACATGGAAGAACATCTAAAGAAACAAAATCAATTAGAGTTAGCCATTCGCAACGCTATTTTAACATTGCACACAGAGTTCCAAACACACTACGATTTATTGCAGAATGAAAGGGAGGTGCAAAAGGAACTGCTCAAACGCATGACTATATTAATGGAACGATTTCGCATTATACGGTAATAGCAATATAAGTTCCGTTGCACATGTCTCCAAAAAACGCGTGTTACCACAACACTGACACATTTACGTTGGATGCAGTTTAAGGCGCCGTCAACGTTGGTATTGGGCATCGCGCCAAATGATAACTGCAAACACAAATGTGGCGCGCTTTTGGACAACTGTGTGCACCGGGAATAAAATATTAATATTATTTTACTGTATTTATTGTACTTTTTTTTTGCAGTGAAAAGCCAATAAAAGAATCAAATATTGAAGCCATAATTGCAGAGGAAGGCATTTTAAATGAGTTTCACGAGAAAGTGCAGAAAATACGGTCATCCAAGTAATGCCATATATATATTAATAAATTATATATATAATATTCTTTTAATATTATTATATTTTCAGTGTCAAGCTGAAGGAACCATACATGAATATTAAATGCTCCTTTGAAAAATTTCAAGATCTCTGTGAGCAATTAGACTTAACATTAGATAGTCCATTCATAAAAGGAAATCATATCACTAAACCGTTGGGTCACTTTATTGAAATAATTAATGATTTTGACACGCATTTCTACCAACAAATTTTAAATTTAGAACTTTATTCGGATTATCTTCAACCGCACCCGGAGCAACTTAACCGCTATAAGTTACATTTAGAAGATTCTGAAGATTTTCAGGAATTCTTTAATATATCAATGGTTGACTTTAAATATTTGCAGCAAAGAAGTAAAAATGTGTCATAGAACTTTTTTAAATGTAATTGTATGTGTACAAATATAAATAAGTGGAGTTCAAAATATCTACGGTTTACGCCTAGAAAATGCAGGTTAGCTTATTTATTTTAATATAATTATATTAAATTATTTTAATAATAAATAATTAGTAAATAAACATAATTCAAGGAAAGATTAAAATCATGTTATAACTTTTAGTTAATAAATAATTCGAAAAAAATATGTGATTTAATGGTTAAATAATATAATCAAACAACAAGGAAGATCTATAATTGTATATCATCAATGCTACATTATAATTTTGAAATTTTTGAAAAAAGTTTCTTTGATAATTATCTATTAAATAATAATATTAAAAATTCGAAATCTATGTTAAGCATATAACAAAGTGCCTTGTTACATCCGCTCAAACGACCTTAGAATAGACCCGATCAAAAAATACATAAGGGCTGCCCTGAAGTTATATGCGAAAACTGACAGGCTATCCTACTAAGCACTATCTAATCTTAGAGTAATCACTCTCCGCACGGGGAGGTACGCAGATCTTAGATCAATCACTGAATAATCATGAAGCTTATAGGGAATACATAAATTAGTCAATGAGATGGGTGGGACCTGTAGTACCCAAGCTATCAAAGTGTAAAAGTGCCCATTTGTGCTGACTCGAAAAAAGGTTCAACATACATATAACTTTTTGTTGTCCAATTTTTTTTTATTTAAATCTTTTTTTTTATCATTATTTGGAACTTCTATTCTCTTGAGACCTAACTTGAGGAAATTAAAGTGGGTTGACAAAGACCGTTCGCTAAATAGAGTTCTCACTGTATGTTATATGTAAGTTAATAATATTTCTAATAATATTTACATTTGAATAAAAAAAAAGAGGTGAGGAAGAGAAATGTTTAGTTCAGTAGTGCTTGAGATAATTAAGCACAACTGGGCTTAAATCAATCTGTGAAGTGTCGTTAAGGAGTAGACAGTAGACCTAGTTAATTGCACTTCAACTAGCTTATTGTTTAACATAGAAACATTAAATTACAATTGTTTCTTTGGAGAGGTACTAGATACAAGACTAGTAAGAGCTTCGTTTAAAGGCAGATACGGTTTCACGATATTTAATGCTACCTTTTGAAAGGTGTTTAAGTAATATCTCCACGCTGATGAGCAAATATACTTAGCACAATTGTTGGTAGGATTGTCAATGCAACTTGCATATAAAGTAAAGTAGCAATTATTGGTATGAAGTTGAAGGTACTCACTTCACTTGTTGTTGAGAATTTGAGAGTTCCCATTGTCTATCACAAGTAACTTAACATTGTTGTGGTAGTAAATGACACCAACAATAGATTATATTGCAAGTATATATAAGTATTTCGTCACTAATGATGTTATTATTATGTTGAGGCTATTTGAGTCAGTGCACTTGAGCACTTTTACTCTCTATTAACTGCGAGGTTTCTTCAAAACCCCTCTTTGCGCCTTGACAGGATTATTGTTTATCACTTCATCAGACTAAGCAATAATTGTCAGAACATCATTTATGTTAAAGCATTTGATTCATTTCGTGAGCAGATTGCGATGGTATTGCTAGGATATTTTCTAAGACCGTGTCGATGGTGTGCGATTTGTCGCTTTAAGAATAAAGACTCCAAAACCTTATCTATATGGACAATTATTTTGCGGATTAAGTTGGTCTACAACTAGGTCTCTGATTGATAAAAGGTTTTTAGCCGAGAAAAGTCGCTGCTGGCGCGACATTCCAGGTAACCGTAAACCAGGCTAAAGACCTGGTTTATCCTTACAGTTATGGTAAAGTGTCCTTCTTCAGCAGAACAGAGCTGAGATTGCTAGTGAGATATTTAACGGGTCACCATGGACTGCGTTATCATCTTAACAAAATGTGTCTGTCTGAAGAGATAGATTATCGACTCTGCTTGAAAGCAGACGAGACTTCCAGTCATATTCTCTGTCACATTGACTGCCTAGCTTTGATCTGGTCCAGGAGGAGATCACCGGGTTGAGAACTACTCTCCCCTTTTGACATTAGGAGGTCCTCAACTGGCTTTCATTCGGAAGGTGGAATGTCTTCTCTTCGGTAAGGGTCTGTTGCAGCACAAAAGATCAATCATGATCGCAGTGCTTAGCTCCGTTAGGAGCTAATACCCAGTTTATTCATATTCCTACTATATATTAAGATTTCTAAAATTGAATTCTTATTTTGTCCAGTTTTCTTAATATATTTTCCGTAAGATTACGGAGACACCCTGTTTTTTAAAAAGTAATTTGCTTTTATTATGTAAATAAAAAGAACATCTCAATACTATGCTCTTATCTGTTATTTAACTCTCCACATACAAAATACATTGATTCCCTGAAGCGCTTAATCGCTATCCAGTGCCTGTCTGAATAGCCTCGCTTTATGTGTGCATGTATTTATGAAACTGATTCCCGAAAAAGTTATGCAAATAAATGCCAATATAAAAACGAGAGGAAGGAATATAAATAAAAAATGAAAGAAGGATATGCAAATTCCATGAAACACCTGCCCGCATCCACACGAACAACACTCACACACACACATGCAGGCAGCTATTTAATAGGTTAGACACACTCAGCGGCGCATAGGCGCGTACGTAAGCTAAGTAGTCTGTATCCTTTTGTGTCGCGCTGCCACAAAACAGTCGTTTTGGTTGAGGTTCCTTCGCATAATTTTATTAGTATTATTTGGTGCTAACGTGTACCTAACGTAACCGGTTATGGGCAGGAAAATATTTACAATTACGCATCAGCATCAGGTGGATGAGTGTGTATGCGTGTAACAACTCAGTTGGTATGTTTGTGTGTCTATACCATATAGCGTCTGCTTGTAGCGAAGTGTGTTTGTTGTTAGTGGATAAAAATGTCCATAGCGTTTAACTCATTTTTATTTGCAACGTGCACAATTAAAGGAAACGGAAACAAGGAAACACTGCGCAAATATGTCCAACAGACTTTATCGCTATAACTGCCACTACGTTTAGAGAGTTTACTTTGTGTTTGCTTTATGTTTGTTACTATTGTTTTGTTACAATGGCATTGTCGTTGTTGTTGGAATTGTTGTTGGCATTGTTGTTGGTGTGTGCGTGTGTTGCATTGTACAGTACGGTGAGTGCTCGTTTAATGATGCCATAAACGATTATGGCCGCGCGTTAAAGCAATGAGAGCAAAGTGCTTTAGTGCGCTCGTTGTTTATTCCTAAACGATGTTGTGGTTTTTAGACCAATTTAATCAATTTTTTTTGTTTGTTTTTTTTTTTGGGTATGAAGTGAAATTTATATACCAAGACGAAAGGATGTAATTCGGTAAATCTTTAAATTTCGTTTCTGCTTCTGTTTTGAGCCTAAAATGTAATGAAGGCTGTCAGTCACTCACTCAGCCTATTTGTGGAAATTTTCCTTAAATGTCTGTTTTCTATGTGTATCCGTTTTTTTTTGGTTTTTTCCCTTTTTTTGTTTTTTGAAAAGTTTTATATGCTTTTAATGCTTCATTGGAGACTGCTTTAATCAGTCTTTTTCTTACTTCATACTTACCTTATCAATTTATATGAACACAGACAACTGAAAGTAAATGCCTACATCCTTATTTACATAATAACTTAAATAAACATAGCCAGATATGAATATTTGTATAAATAATTTCACATTTCTCTCTACATACTTTTATGATATTAATTATGTATCTAGATAGTTGCACAACAAATTGTTTTTGGTCTTTGTTAATTAGAAACAAATTAAGTATTCACATAGAATCTGCCTGAGGTCATTGAGAATTAATTTCATTATTAAATTTTCTTCAGATTTTATTGCACCAATAATTTAATTTCTTAAATTTTGTTTTATGTGATCAGTTTTTAATAATTACTTAAAAAAATATTTAAAATGTTTATTTTTTTTATTAATAATTAATTTTTGAAAAATTTTATTTACTTTTCAGTTATTTTAATATTTTAAAAACATTTTAATTTATTTCCTTTTTAATATTTTTTATATAATAACAGATTATATAAATAATTTGAACATATAAAGTTTAAACATTATTTATTTCTGTGTTTTCTGGTATTTTAACTAAATTTATTATGTAATAGCATCATGAGGATGGCTATCGATTCCTATCGTTATCATCGATTACCTTCAATAACCATCATCACCTTCGATTACCATCGATTATCTTCAATTATCATCAATTTTTTTTTGTTTATTATTGAGAACTTTCGATTGTTTTCGATTACCATCGATTAGTTTTGATTACCATCAATCGATTATTTTCGATTACCTTCAGTTACCTGCGATTATCATTGAATATATTCATTTATTATTGATTACCTTCGATTGTTTTCGATTACCATCGATTATTATTGAATATTTTCATTTGTTGTTGATTACCTTCGATTGTTTTCGATTATCATCGATTACCTTTGATTATCATCGATTATATTCGTTTACTATTAATTACCTTCGATTATTTTCGATTACCATCGATTAGTTTTAATTACTATTGATTACCTTTGCATTAATAAGCTTCGATATCTATCGATTACCTTCGATGACCTTCAGTTACCTTCGATTACCATTAAATGTCAACGACAACTTTCGATTGCCTTCGATTACTCTCCATTAGCTTCAATTATCAATTACCTTCAATTACCTTCGATAGTCATCATTACTATACTTATACATTTACAATAATTTTGGACTTAAACCCAGAAAACATTGCAATAAATGAAAATAATATAAAAAAAATTAAAATAGAATGTAATAAAATAAAAAACGAAATAAACCGAAAAAAATACTATGTCAAAAATACTAATCAAAAATTTGGCCAGGAAGAAAGTAATGATTAAAATTAATTAGACCATACGTTAGGTTAGAATTGGGTTCTTGTGCCCAAAGTCCTCATATTGAGATCGCTTAGAAAAGGGGTCTAAACATTTTAAATCTGCTCTTAGCCGATGACGGACACAGTGTAATACAGTTTCCTTCTCATCTGCAAAAGAAGATAATCCT